GGATCTACATGCTTTGAGAATTTCTTTTTTCTACTTAGTTAAGGCATAAAACAAGTACCAAAACAAAACAAACACATAACTATTTAAAGAACATTTATTTTATCTTTTGTGTGTGTGTGTGTGTGTATAACCAGGGATTGAACTCAGGCCCTTGCGCTTGCCAGGCAAGTGCTTATTCTACTGAGCTGTTTCCTTGGCCCCGATTTTACCTTATTTTATTTTATTGAGACAGGGTCTTGCTATGTAGTTCAAGCTTGTCTTTGAACTTATGAGGAAGCCCAGCCTACCCGTGAGCTCACAGAAATCCACCTGTCTCAGCCTCCTGAGTGTTGGGATCATGGGTGTGTATTGTCATGCCCTGTAAGAATTTTAAATAGCTATATTCTAAAGTGTAAGCCAACATTTCAATAAATAGCTAGGCACAATCATATTATTAAGAGGCTATAACACATTTAGCAAAGGCAAAGAGGAAGGTTGTATCCTGTTAATATTAAAAAAACCCTCAAAATATTTCAGATTCTAAACTTTTTAAAAACAATGTGCATAAATATATTAGTAGGGCAAACAAGTACATAAATTGCAAATGTAAATGTATATATATTGGAAATTTGTACTAAAAATATTTACTGATGAAATGCAAAATCAAAACGTTTGGAGGACTCTGGCCTAATAAGGGGGACCACCTGTAGTGACTCCAGTTCATGGAGTCACTACAGGTGAAGATGACCCAGAGACACCTGTGAGATAGCTTCTAAAGGAAGATCCAAGCATTCTGAATGAAAGACTGGAGTGGGTCACAAGGGCAAAGGCAACGATGAATCAAGTTATGAATTCCAGTCTGCATACATTAACTTTGAAAGGCTAGATGGTGCTCAAACCTCAGAGGCAGTAAAGGTGGGGTGAAGAATTCTTAGCAAGTGAAAGGTGGAGCCGTGCGGGTGGACCACGCCACCCAGAGGGACGCATGTAGGGAGGAGATGCGCAGCGAAGCTACAGTTGGCGTTACTTCGTGATTAGAGGGCAGCTAGGAAAGGAGCCAGAGGAAGGGAAACAGGAGGAGTAAGAGGACAGGAAAACCACAAATGCAAATGGAAGTGAGAGTTCCAAAGAAGTGGTGTTCTAGTCAAAGAGGACAAGGCCAGAGAAGAGTATCGTCAGCTACAATTACTCAAGCTTGAGTGGACGTACTCTGGATGTTTCTTAAAGTCGAATATCTTCATAGATCCTGACTTTTCACTGGTGGGGTCATAATGTGAGCAGCTGATGTTTGTGAAATGCTTATTGCAAACCAGGCACCACACTGAGCTGCACATGAACCATTTCATTCAGGCTTACAGTAACTACCCAGGTCATTGTGCATTAATTCTCCTCCAAGGTTGAGTAAGCAGAGACTAGAGAAATCAGGTGACTTGCACAGGGCCTCAAATACAGTGGCTAACAGTTATTGTGAGTTAATTATGCACTGTGATTATAGCTTTATGTATGTTAACTTGATTTATCTTAAAAATATCCTATCAGATAGTGACCTTTATCAATTACTGTTTATATTATTATTTAAAAAAATCTTTTATTTATTTATTTGGTACAGGGTCTCGCTACACAGCTTGGACTCTGGTGATCCTCCTGTTTTCAGGCTCCCCAGTGCTGGGCTTACAGGCGTGTACCACCTTGCCCAGTCTCAGTGGCTGGCTCAGTGCGGGGCTGGCACCGCGTGCAGTTCCAGGGATCCAAACTGGGTTCTTGCGCTTGCCAGGCAGGTGCTTAGACTGTTGAGCTTTCTCCCCAGCCGCCAAGGGTCAGGTCTTTTCCATTCTTCAACTCCTCAGTGCAAAAGACTGTCCCCCTCTCCTAGATAACAGCAGCTATGTCAAGTGTGCAAAAACAGCCCCTTTCAGGCTGAGGAGATAGCTCAGCGGCACAATCACCTGCTTGGCAAGCTCAAGGTCCTGAGTTCAATCCCCGGTATAAAAAACAAAAGGAACCAGTCCCTTCCCATTTTTTGTTTTCTGGGGCAGGCACAGCATGGAACCCAGGTCCTTACACTTGCCAGGCAGGCATTTAGATCACCGAGCTCTCTCCTCAGCCCTATACTTTTATTTTCAAGCAGGTCAAAAGATAAGTTAAGTCAAAGAGAGGTAACCTAATAGATTCTGGTTAAATAACAAATTGTGGTGCTGGGAATTAAACCCGGACATTAAGCCAGACTCTACACCCAAGCACCATGCCACGTTGCTTAGAAGACATACATGGCGGCCTCGGAAGGCTATTCCAAAAGAGAAGTTCCAAAACTTAAACAGTCCTTAAGCAAGTCCTTTTTCACTATTACAGTACTTAGGTGATGTTGTAGGCCTGCGAAAGGTGAGTAGCTCCTGGCCACAAGATGGCGACAGAGTACCGGGCACGAAGTGATCAGGGCTGGCGAGGGAAGGTGTAGCAGCTCGGCGGACTTGGGATCCCAGGCAGGGGAGAAGCAGTATTGGATCAGTGGTCTAAGCTTAGCAAAGCAAAGGGACCGCGGTTCAATCCCCCAGCACCACATGCCAGCCAGCCCCGCCCCCTGGTGGGCTGAGCTGGCCACACACACACACACAAATAAATAAATAAAAAAGAAACTAGTGAGTGCATTCTCGCTAACAAGCCCAGATGCTGCGACAAGTCTGGATACCTGGGTGCACTTGGAGGAGACATAAAAGACCATAAAAGTCTTGAAAGGAGACAAGAAACCAGAACACAGTGATTGCCTTTAGAGATAAGAACTGAATTCTATGAAATCTTCTGTGTCTATAGGTAGCTATAATGTACTGGCTACAACCATCATGTCCATTATAAAGTTCCAACACTGATGGTTTGATTTTTACATATGCTTTTTATGAATTAGACTACTCTAGAAAGTAAGTCATCGTAGAACAAACAGATGTGCATATTCAAGTTGTTAAATGCCTTTTTTTTTTTTTTTTTTTTGGTGGTACCAGGGATTGAACTCAGGACTTTGTGCTTGCCAGCAAACACTTATTCTACTGAGCTATCTCCCCAGTCCCTTAAATGCCTTCTTAAACAGCTAAAGACAGTTGCTCACCTGATGTTTTGGACAGAAGCTGGTCTTCACTCAGGCTTATCTTGGTTGGGCAGTGGTCTAAAGTTGTTTCGCCCTTAGACAGCTTTATCTTGTGGGAGAACACAAAAGAAAGACAGAGCCTGAAATTGAAGGGCAATATACTCTTACGCTGTGTCCTTATCCTGAAGGAAAAATCCTCCTTGATTTATTTTTGCCTTATTCACCAATGACACTATGCAAAGTCTGGCTTGTCCCCAAAGTCAAAGGGACCATGAAACTTGAACATTTTGAATTGATTCAGGACATTACGGCAGCTGCAATGGTGTAGCTAACAGCATCCATCAAAGAGAACTTCTAGAAGAACTGCTTCAGAAAGTGGCAGTAATGGGAAATGTGTGTTTGAAGCAAAGGGAGGACTTAGAGGGGGATTAATACAAGGCATATTTTGTTTATTTTTTGTGGCCAACTCAGCCCACCCTGGGGGCGGGACTTGTGCGGCATGTGGTGCCTGGGATTGAACCGCAATCCCTGCACTTACCTAGGCTTGCCTAAGCAGGCACTTTAGACCACTGAGCTACCTCACCAGCCCTGCAATGCAATTTTTGTTGTAATAATTTTTTAAAAAATTTAAACGTTAGCCATATGTTTTGATCACATCTTCTATTTTCATCACTCCATGCTCTGCTTTCACTGGAAGCAAATACAATATTTAATAATACAGTTCTGGTGATACTTAAAAATAAAAAGAAGTTAAGTTTGGAATTAAAATGAGATATTCTCAAGAAAAAGTACACTCTCACTTTGCATATCCTTAGCCAGAGTGTTCTCAAGGTAAACTGCTTTTTTTCAAGCTCCATGACAAGATCAATATAAATAACTACAATTCAGTGACTTGTCAGTTCTGTTTGGTCAGAGGCCTCCTACTACTGATACACAAAATATACAGACTTTTGACTACAGTGGCGGGTGAGGGGGTAGGGCCAGCTTTTCTGGGCTACCCCAAGCACTTAGTGAAGTTCAAGCATCTGAGATCAACTGAGTAATTACAGCAGTAACACTTGTGGCTCGCTTGTACCTGAGATCTCAATCTCAAATTGACAATTATTTTCATTTCTGGTTTGGTCTGGGCAGGTATCAAAATAATCCTCAGCCCAGGGGCTTATTGGTTGAATAAATACATGAACGATCAGTAAAGTGCTGTCTTAATGTAGCTTTAGATGGTATGCAGTTGTATGTGTACGCATGCTAAGTGTGTAGTTGTGCCGGCTAAATATGTAGGATGGGGCTGATCCCTGTTACTTACCCTAGTGAGAGGTTTCCAGGAGAGATCCAGGTGCAGAAATGTAGATGGTATGTCGAAAGGAATTTCAATACTTTCTTCTTTCTTTTTCTCTGTCGGTGCGGGCGTTAGAGTTTTCTGTGGTCTAATATCCCAGAAACATATTGTGCTGAAAGGAAGTTTACATAGATCTTTTTTCTTTATTAAGCACAAATGAGAGAGGTAACCCCAGGACTACCACTGGTGCTGCCATACATTAGCGATGTGACCATGTGTGTATTCTCGGCTTTTCTCTTTTTTAAAATTTTATTTTATTTTTTTTTGGCGCCTTGTGCTTGCCAGGCAAGCGCTTATTCTACTGAGCTATCTGCCCGGCCCCACCATGTGTGTATTCTAATGTCTCTGAAAGCTACATATTTACTACGTGGGATTGTGTTGTATTTCATATTTTAGAGAATGATACTACTTATAGGGTTATTTAATAACCTTTGTCTTGATATTAATATTATCATCTATGAAAACAGAATTTGACAGTTGAATTTTTTTTTTTCTAACATAGGGGTTTTACTGAGCTGTAACTCAAAACTCACCCATTTAAAAAAAACCAAAAAAACTCACCCATTTAAAGTATATGATTCCCTGGAGCAATCAGGTCCCTCCTGCCCACGGCTACCATTAAGGTCAGAGTGCCTTGCCCCACCTCTCTGCCACCCCTTCAGCTCCTACAACTTAGTTTAAGATGTCATTATTTTTACTAGGATCAAAAGCTGTTTTCAATATTAGAGTTTCTCTAGGACTTGGAGGCCAGATAAGTGATACTACTTTTTGTATATCCTACACTGTTAGGAACTCTTAGTTTTATAAGCTGAGAGAGATTGTTTTATTTTAATGAATATCCTTCACCATAAGCTACTAAGTTCTTTTTATAAAAGCACATTTTATAAATATACAATAAAAATGTAAAATCTTCTATTTTTTGAAAGACTCCTTCCCAGTTAAGTGTTGCAAATTTCATAATTGTGAGATTAAAATTGAATATGTGATTAAGCTATTATGAAAGTTTAGAGACAGGAGAATGTGGAAGAGCAGATAATAAGGATAACATAAACGACGTCATCAACCTGGAAGCCTCCTTAGGTTTTTCAATATATTTATCCCTATAAAAAAGATCGCTGGACATCAGCAACACTCTATACCCCACTCTCTCCCTTAGTTACATTGAGTTTAATTGCTGTAATAGAGATGATTTAGGGAGCCAAAGATACTGATTTTAGGAGCATCTGAGGAACAACACTTGGCATGAGAGTCTGTCGAAGCCGGGCGTGGCGCAGCACACCTGTGTTCCTAGCACGCAGGAGGCTGCGGCAGGAGGACTGCTGTGAGTCTGAGGCCAGCCTAGGCTACAAAGTGAGTTCAAAGCCACCCCTACGCT